TAGTACTTACCTACGGATAAACCACCAGCCAAATCTAACACGCCTATTTCGACTTAGCCGCCGTAGGTTACGCGAGAATTGGATTATTGTAGCGACAGACTCGCTGAATCCCGAATCACGGTAGATAAGCAGCAATTTCAGCAGGTGGGTTCATTATTTCAATAGTGGATATGTTTGTAATTTTGATAATAGCTAAGTTAGTGGATTCAATAGTAGATTGATTCATTTGCGATTACGGTAAAAAACATAAGCATTTATCCTTAGAGTCCAAAATAATGTACTTATTAGTCTCTCAAATATAGGTATAAACTAATAAAAGGTTAAAATCGTCTTTTTATCAGTTGTTTATTTAAAAAACGAATAATAGTCAAGCTTGCAAAAGCATGTAATTACAAATTTGAATATCTACAATATCATATAAAAATATTTCCTTTCTGAAATTGCCAAAAATGTTTGTTGTAGATACCCTTATGAAGATAACATATAAGGTGAAAGTTATACGATCTAATTTACACATATTCATATATAGCAAGATTGATCAGTCAAAATTATAAATCTAAACATGAATAACTTGTGTAATGTTTGCTAATTGCTCATTTGGGCTGCTCAATTGGTGATAACGGTCTTTTGTCTACAACCCCTTTATTAATCTTTGGCTTATATTTTTTTACTAAAAAATATATTAAGGCAATAATAGCACCAAGGCCAACACAACCAGCAATAGTAATACCAACGACTTCACCAATATTTAATCCTCTACTATCCATGTTACAGATTGATTTACCAGGTGTAAAAGTAGTTACCCATGTTTTGCATGGAATATCTAATATATAAATAAAGGAATTGAGGTCAACTGGTGGCACTAAATCATTAGTAATATTACCTATTGTTATTTTTAATATAAGTGTTAATTTATTTGTAAATCAAAAACATTAATAAATAAATAATAAATAAATAAATAAATATATATATAATCACCAAATGCAACAATGCGATAATTTTGATATAAATTTGCCGTATGAACTGCTAACGGTGGTGGTTTATCTCCGGAAGTTATTAGTTCAGAATAAACATAGGGTTCATTTGCAATATTTAACGACACAAAAACTGGTGAAGCAGTTGTAAGGTTATAATGATAATCTAAGAATAACAAATTAATCATTATGATTAGTATTATTATTTAAAAAAGAAATTTAGAATTACCGTATTTCGCGGGCCAAACCACCCCCTCCCTGTAAAATAATTACCGGATAATATGGATATTTTGATGGTGCATGCGGATGCATAATATATTTGTTATGTCTACTACGTACCGGCGATTGGTTTTCTATACTGTAGTGATAAAACAACATACAAGTTATTAATTTAATATGCACCATGGAAATATCCGCATGATCCGACAGGGGAGGGGTGGTTTGGCCCGCGAAATACGGGTATATTACATGTTCCATACTTGAGTTTCCTCCTATTATAATAATTTCATTATTGTCTGGTGTTAAGGTTGCAGTGTGAGCTAATCGAGGTTGAATGCGGATTGATTGACTTGCATACTAGGAAATATAAATTATATTACTAAAAAGTTCGACGTGACAATAATCATTACCTCGGAAATAAAGCTAAACGTATACTTTATATGACCAGATTGAAGAAATCGTGTCAAATACTGGGATCTATAATAGACGATACAAATTAATATTTATGCATTGAATAAACTAATTCACATTAAATTTATTTTACCTCATTCATGTCTATTAGGTCTGCGTCCTTTCCAGGGTCAGTCTGAGAGACGCCACCAATGTAAAGAATCTTGCCATTTGGAAGCAATACTGGCGCTGCGTGACTTCGAGGTGAAGGAGCATTGTCTGCATTAATTTTATTCCACGATACCAATACCGGATCAAATGTATACAAGTCATTATAGCAAATGAATATAGGTGAACCTGTGTCTACTTGGACTCTCCCTCCAAATATATATATTATTCCAGTTCGACTTATAGTTGCAGTTGATCTTCGTCTGGGTGGCGGCGTTCCTTTTTGATTTAAAGGATATGACCAAGCTTCTGCATGTGACTGGTAGAAAAAAATGAATTGATCCGTCGTATTGTACGTTTTATTAATTTCATCTATCATTAATGCTTGATTTGAAGTTATAGTTGCATTACGATCAATTTCATTAAGGCGTGTAAGATTCTGTTGTACACCTCCAATCAAATAAGCATTTTCATTATTAGCACCTCCGAGAACCACAGTGCCTTATGTGAAAAAATATATATATCTATATTAAGTTCTTTAGAATCAGCTACGCGACGACTTTAATAGCTAACCTTTTTCACTTGCATATTTCATTCGTGCAGAAGTACCTGTGAGGTCTACATATGGTGGGCTACTAGTTGAGAATTGAGATGAAAGGTTTAGGAAAAAAACTTCATCTGATAAATTATATACTCTTATTGAACTCTTAATCGGATTTGTAGATGGAATGAAACGAGAACCCCCCATAAAATACAACAGATTTCCAATTATTATTGCTACATGTCCTGCTCGAGCTTCTGGTACAAAACTAATGGCTTCAGAAAACTTAAATATAAAAATAATTATGAAAAAAATAATTTTGCCTGATTTTATTTTTGGATTCCACATTTTAATTATTTCAAATGAATTATTTTATAATCAATATGATTAAAGAAGGGATTAATGATGAGAAATAGAAACTTACTTATGCCGTGTTATAAATTATTATTGCGAATTAATAACATGAATGTGGTGCACGATTAATTTGTGCTTTGAAATACTTTTCTGACTTACAAGAGTATAATCTTTATCATGAGGTTATTGTTACATGTACACCAAATTATTATCCCTATTTCTTTGTACGAGTGATAAAAAGGAAAATAATCAACCAGAAACTGAAACGTGCATAACATAATAATCTATCGTTGCATTACTATAATAATTAAGGGGGATCTTGAATTACATAATTATTGTGAACTTTCGGAAAACTGCGATTCGGTCGCTCCACAATCCAGAATCTCGCGTAACCAACGATAGATAACCTTACGAAAGAGTGGTGCTAATTTTGCTGGTGGGCGAATCCACAACGTCAGGTATGTTAAGTCATATGATCAAGAGCTTGAACGAACAACGATTTTATAGGGTTTATAGGGTTTATACTGGATATAGTGTTAGTGTAATATTATGGACAGTATATAAGATTGGGACTTAATATTTAATAAAGTATACGAGACATAATTCTCTTAGGGGGCTATTTCGGCCTTTATTTAGAAATTTATTATAGTTATCGTTATTGATTATTAACCAAAATAAACAAATAATCGTACATTATGAACAATCTATACAATAAAATTAATTGAATTTAAACTGCAACTGATTTTGGTGACACTGGTTTGTGTTATGAGAACCAATTTATTAAGTTTATTTTTAATAAAAAACAGTTCATTGTGTTTTGATTTAAAATTTTGTTTCACCTACATTATAGTCCATTTTTCTAAAGGCTAACAGCTAATTTGTTTTTAAAATTCTGCTTTATTGAACAATCTTTTGAAAATTATACTTCTTTATTATATTGTTCATTTTCGAAAATAATTTTCTCATAAAGCTTTTAATTTGTTTAAAGTAGTTATAAATTTGTGACGAAGATAAAAATTAAGCAACATATAGTCTTTTATTTTATGTTTTTCTTTTCAAACTTTGATTCAATTATCATATAAATATAAAGACTATGTTCACTTGTGATATTTCAATATTCTATAAAGAAAAATAATTTGTACGTTGTGAAGGGGATAGATAATTTTTTTTGTTCATTACACTTTTTTTAGTTGTTGGGGGGGTTTTTTTTAATTAGCTGAAGAAAGTTTAGTTAGTGTATTGTATGGCATTGTTGTTGTAAAAGGAATTACCGGGTACAAATGTATATTTGTACATTGATATATTTGCGATTAGGTTGAACATAGTAAATATAGGAAAATTTAGTTAGAATTATATACACAATAAGTATATAAGACCCACCTTTTTGCAGTAATAGAGTACAAACACTTGGAGTTCGAAAACCTTTTGAGCCTTATAAGTGTTTGTCGTTAAGTAAAATTCCTTAAATGCATAAATCGTAAAAATCGTTCGTCGTTATCATTGATACTTGTCCCCGTGACTATCGGTTGCCCTATTCGTATTGAAAAAAGTATCGATTTAGTAATCAGGTCCCTTATATATTAAATGCAAAACTGATTAAATTCGTGATTGCCTCATTATATCCCCGGAACCGATCCGGATCGTGACCCGACGCAGTACTTCTGACGAAAGAAGTGTAGCGTTAGTAAAGTAGTAAGAAATCGACTCAATTAACTAAAGCAAAAAATAAAAGAACACTTACCTGGTACCGACACTAGCTCTATAACACCTGTTTACTCGGACTAAGTCTTTTCACGCCTCAATCGTAGCCTAACCAAGATTAGGGTTTGGTTATTATAGTTATAAAGTTAGTTTTGTAGTGAGTTATTAGACATCGACACTGCAAGTTCCGACACAGCTTGCACTTTCACAACGTACATAAGTTAATTTTTTTTTGATCTGATTATGAGTAAAGATCTTTGCGAACTCGGTCGGAAATACCAACGTGGCATCGGTGTTGAGAAAGATGAGTATAGAGCTTTTGAATTTTATCAAAAATCTGCAGAGATGGGAAATGCTACTGCAATAAATCATGTAGGATATTGTTATCGACATGGAATTGGAGTTTCAAAGGATGAGCATAAGGCATTCATTTATTATCAAAAATCTGCAGAGATGGGAAATGCTATTGCGATAAATCATGTAGGATATTGTTATCGACATGGAATTGGAGTCTTAAAGGATGAGAAAAATGCATTCATTTATTATCAAAAATCCGCAGAGATGGGGAATGCAACTGCGGTATTTAATATAGGATATTGTTATCGACATGGAATTGGAGTCTCAAAGAACGAGCAAAAGGCATTCATTAATTATCAAAAATCTGCAGAAAACGGTAGTATAAATGCAATGAACCAACTTGGTTATTGCTATCGAAACGGAATTGGTATAAAAAGAGATCTAGAGAAAGCAAACTATTGGTATCAAAGGTAAAAATATTGATTTAATTTCATATATGTATATATTTGTATATAATTATTTTATTAACATTATAAAACATATAAATAGAGAGGAAGGTTTAACTTCAAATGCATATGAATGTGCATCTAAAAAAGTTGGTATTGATAGCAATCTAAAGAAAATGTTGATAAAAACTCAATATCAAATGCCGTGGATTCCTTATGATGAATTTAAAGTTTTGGGGGTGATAGGAAAAGGCGGATGTGCAATTGTTTATAGAGCAGATTGGTTTAATAAAACCTGTAATGCTCAAACGCATATAGCGCTCAAAGTACTTGAATTAAATGATCATCTGAAATTTATAAACGAGTTAAAAATATATTGTGAAATTAAGACGGCATATCCATCATTTTTGAAATGCTTCGGAATAACAAAAGATGATAAAGGAAAATATATCCTTGCTTTTGAGTACGCTAGTATGGGATCTTTGGGTAGAAATATTTACGAAGTATCACGAATGGATTGGAAAAGAAAATTGAAATTGTTACAATGCATAATTTCAGATCTTGATATGATCCATTCCCAAAAATATATTCATAAAGATTTACATAGTGGTAACATTTTACAAGACGAGTTAGGCAGCGCGTACATTTCAGATTTAGGTCTTTCATCATATATAAAAAGTAAAGCTGAAGGTATTTATGGTGTTTTACCTTATATTGCCCCCGAAGTTTTACAAGGAAAACCATTTATGCAAGCAGCAGATATCTACGCTTTCGGAGTCATCATGTGGGAAATATCAAACGGTCAAAGAGCTTTTGATGGATTTTCATTTGATAATGAACTTGCAATAATGATTTGTTTAGGGTTACGGCCTGAATTTGTTCCTGGAATACCTGATTGTTATGTTGAATTGACCAAGCATTGTATGGATCCTGATCCACAAAAACGACCTACAGCTTTTGATATAACGAGTAAGTTTAATGAATGGAATAAAAGTTTGGAGGATCCTAACGAAAGTGTAATTAAAAAGCAATTCTTAGAGGCTGACAATATAGTCGGTATGTTACCGATATATTCTCAAAAACATTCAGATCACATGTATACGAGCAAGCACATCAACACGCGAGAGATCACTGAAAGGCTATCAATTATGGTTGGTAGCAAGTCAATTGATAGCATTGAAATTCCTTTATGATGCGTGAATTTTTTTGTTGATGTATTCCATTGTACAACGAAAATAATATAATAACTGAAATTTAAGTTTTCTTTTTTTAATTTGTATTTTTTTCTAAATAATAAAAAAGATCTTTAATAATATTTACAAAGAATTAAGTTATTATTATTGAATTAAAGTTGTTTCTTCTAGTGTCAAACCACTCAAGCATCTGTTTATTATATTTATCTTATTATACAATAAACTAGGTAAATGCATAATAACTATTTATAAATTTTAAGGGAGTTATAAATATATTAATATTATGTTTTTATTTCTATAATATAGTTTTATGAATGATTTTATGGTTTTAAAATATAATTTTACTAAACGCACCTATGGTGTTTTACACCTATGCGTGCATTATCTCAAAAACTAATTAATCAGTACGAGGTGTTCTAAGTAAAAATGGTCTACGCTCCTGAAAACCCTTCACAAACCCTAATACTAACTTGTAAACTATTTCTAACATGAAAAAGGTTAAGTCAAAAATTTCTATGACAAAACTTATAAAAACTTGGAAATTTTAAAAAACATAATAAAAACATATAATAGGTGCAAAACACCATAGTTGCGTTTTATAATAATTGTTAAAATAATATAATTTTTAGTTATTTATTATAAAATTTATATATGATCATAATAATAATAATATCAAAATGTTTAAAGTGTTAAAAAGGCATTGTATATAGATACAATAATTTAGCATAAAAATATATATATAATGTAAAAATTAACAAAAAAATTAAAAAAAAATCGATTTTTTTTTAAGAATTTAGTTGTAAATATGATATGCTAGATTAATTTTATCTAAATGTACAAATTAATTATATGTAGTGCAATTAAATATTAAATATTTTTTAATTTCTAAAAACATTATACTTAGTATAAGAAAATTATCTAAAGTAAACTAGAATTGGTAACAATTATTTTATTATTAATTACTGTACTGACAGCTTAGTTTACTGAAACTAATTTACTATAAGTGTATTTTACTAACACCTTATTTTACAAACAAGTTCTGATTATTGTTATTAGAGTTAGACTAGAATTAAAGTTAAAATTAGTGTAATTTATAAAAAAAACTTGTTAGTAAAATAAACTAATATTGTAATTAATTAATTGTTATTAAATAGATATATTGGTAACTTAAGAGTAAAAGATAATATTTTAAAATTATATATAAACTTAATGATAATTTTTTATATATTTAATTTTATAAAAAATTGTATTAAATAAATTAAATTTAATTATTAAGTAAAAGTATTTTATGCATTTTTTACATAATAGGTCATGATATTTTGGTATTACAATTTATAATAATTAGGTGATTTAAGTA